GCCGCAACGAGGACCTGCTGCCACGAAAGCGGGGCCAATGGAGGAGGGTGTAACATGCATCACAACAAAAAGTGGCGAGCCCGCAAGCGTGATGGGCGATGTGCACTACTTGCGCAACGCAGCCACATCGTGCCAAAAGCACGATGGGCGCGTGCGTTCCGCTCGCCGTCGGCGTCGCCATTGACGTCGTCGTCGTCGTCGTCGTTGTCTCGACGTCGTCGTCGTCGTGTCGTCGTCGTCGACGTCGTCGTAGTGGGCTGAGCTACGCTCACTGCCCTCGCGGTGTAATCCTCGCCATCACGTTCCAGGCCATGCGGGGCGAAGTGCAGCGCGCCGACCGCACCGTCGAAGCTAAAGGTGGAACGAGAACGCCGACGACCGACATTCTCCACGCTCGCTCCAAGGGGCCCCCGTGGCTAGCAAGGGTACAACAGCGTACGGGCGTTTCTCCATGCCAGCCGCAGGAATGAGGCTGGTAGGCGGAAGCGATTGCTGGTGGGCGGAGCTAAGCTCACAGCCACACTGCAATACTGTGAGCCAGAATGGCAACAACGACAACGCTGGTCGGGAAAGATCGCTGGACTCGACGACGACCGCCCCCTGTCTTGCCTCCCAACTCCGTCACTCCCTCCTCCTCCTCCGACTCGTCCTCCTCCGGCTCCCCCACAAGGGGGCTGTGCAAGGAGGCAGAAAGACATAGGAGCAGAGGATATATGCGAAGGCAGGCAGACACACGCCTGCACCAAACGACTGTCGGCATGCTTCGCTGGGGTTGCGGTTCGGAGATAGTACTACTACTACTACTACTACTACTACTACTACTACTACTACTACTACTACTACTACTACTACGACTACGACTACGACTACGACTACGACTACGACTACGACTACGACGACTACTACTACTACTACTACTACTACTACTATGACTACTACTACTACTACTGCTGCTACTACTAGTACTACTACTACTACTGCTACGACTACTACTAGTGCTACTACTACTACTACTAGCACTACTAATTCTACTGCGACGGCTACTTCTACTGCTACTGCTACTGCTAGTGTCACTGCTACTGCTGCGACTACTACTACAACTACTACTGCTACTGCTACTACTATGATTACTACTAGTACTACTTCATCTGCTACTACTACTACTATTACTACTACTACTACTACTACTACTGCTACTGCTACTACTACTACTACTAATACTACTACTACTACTACTACTACTACTACTACTACTACTACTACTACTATTACTACTACTACTACTACTACTACTACTACTACCACTACTACTACTACTACTACTACTACTCCTACTACGAAGGGCCCGAACAACTCGCACCATGACGAGGTGCCCGAACGACTCACACCACGAGGAGCCCGAACGACTCACACCAGGACGAGGGGCCCGAACGACTGACACCACGAAGAGCCCGAACGACTCACGACCACGGAGGAGGGGCCCGAACGACTCACACCAGGACGAGGCGCCCGAACGACTCACACCACGAGGAGCCCGAACGACTCACACCACGACGAGGGCCCCGAACGACTCACACCACGAGGAGCCCGAACGAGTCACACCAGGAGGAAGGGCCCGAACGACTCACACCAGGACGAGGGGCCCGAACAACTCACACCACGAGAAGCCCGAACGACTCACACCAGGACGAAGAGCCCGAACGACTCACACCACGAAGAGCACGAACGACTCACACCAGGAAGAAGGGCCCGAAAGACTCACACCAGGACGAGAGGCCCGAACGACTCGAACCACGAGAAGCCCCAACGACTCACACCTGGACGCGGGGCCCGAACGACTCACACAACGAGGAGCCCGAACGACTCACACCAGGAATAGGGTCCCGAAGGACTCACACAAGGACGACGGGGCCGCAGGACTCACACCACGAGGGCCCCCAACGACTCCCACCAGTCGTCGTCGTCGTCGTCGTCGTCGTCGACGTCGTCGTCGTCGTCGTCGTCGTCGTCGTCGTCGTCGCCGCCGCCTTCGACGTCGTCGTCGTCGACGTCGTCGTCGTCGTCGCGGTTGTGGTCGTCGTCGTCGTTGCGGTCGATATCGTCGTCGTCGTCGGGTGCGTCGTCGTTGTTCAGATCATCGCTGTGGTCGTCGTCTCCGCTAAGTCCCTCTTGCCTCCCACCGCTTTCTCTCCCTCCTCCTCCGCCTCGTCCTTCTCCCGCTCCCCCCCCAAGGAGGATGTACAAGGAGGCGGGAGGAAGGAAGACCATGGGAGATATGCGGGGGCAAGCGGACACACGCCTGAAAAACACGACTGTCGGCATGCTTCGCAAGAGTTGCTGTTGTGAGATGGGCTGGTGGGGATACGCGAAGCGTAAATAATTGTGGAGCTTAGGTTTTCTCCTCGAGTTCACTTGATGTTGGCTTTCAGGGTGTTCGCTCTGACTACGACGTGCGCGACGAGATGGAGCAGCAAGTAGACGCAGCAGCAGATGGTGACCC